TTCACTTGTGATAGTGGTTTTGAAGCAATCAAAAGACAAATCTAATTTCCAGCTGTTAGAAATGATTGTTCATGCATGAGGAACTACTGCAGCTTTATGRGCCATGTCTTTTTGGGCTGGAAGTCTTGGTTTTGGTGTTTTGGTATGCCTTGAATAACAGAAGGCTGCAGAGGGAGAGTGAATTTTTGTTTTTTTAAATAGTCATTCTGAAAATGACGGGATGCTTTCAGAGTGTCATGACCAGGGTGCTGATTCAGTCAGAAGAATCTCCTYTGGAAAATGACATATTTCAGGGACCTGTTTACCTTGACTCACCTCTGAATTTTTCCATTGGTGACACAGTGGCTTTTCAGGGCAGCTGTGTCTTGCAAAAGCAGGCTCCTTGCACATGGTATGTCAGGAATCACCAAATGATTTAAAAGCCRCTTTCTTTCTCTGTTACTGAGTATTTAACCATGTTCTTCACTTGGYTGACTAAATTGTAAGCAGTCCAAGACAGTGGGGAGGATTTTGTAGCTGCACACAGAAAATAAATCCRTAAGATAACTTTGTTATGCTTCAGAACACTTCTGTTATTCTTGTGTTGTCTCATCTGTCACTAATGATGTCAGCACTGGAAAACACCTGGAGGTAGTTGGATTCCCCATGTATTCTTTACATAAGAGAGCAGTTTATCAATGTACATAAAAACAGTGCAGCTGGTGATAAAGGTTTTTCTACTCCATCCATATTGCACTTGAATTCTTCAGGAGATGTCTGCATTTTTCCAGGCTCTGATGGACTGGGCTACTTTTGATTGGAACCTGCAAATTTGAGCACAGTGGGRACTGCACAAAAGCGTGRGGTGTGGTGTGGATGCTTTGGAGARCACCCRGGAGGGATGCACRGATAYGGGATCACAGCCAYGCCCTGCTCATCAGCCTCTCCTTTAATTTTCCCTGAGGGGAATGTCCCACCGCTCAGTTTCCATGTTCAAATCTCCCTTTTTGCCACGGGGAAAGTGTTGAAAGAGCTGCTCCTGAAAGCTCTTGTGTTTCAGTGGTGGCTCTATATGTCCAAAAAGAAAGAAAAAGCGATAAATTTTCAACTTGAGAGGCTGAAAAGAAATTAGATGTAAATTCACTGCAAACAATGAAAGCAGATTCACCTACTGATCTGGGTTGCATCTCCTTTTTCCCCTCCTCACACTGAAAGTAGCAGTACCTGTGCCTGTCTCCCCTCTTCCCAGTCCGGCTGTGTTCCTGCAGGAGAATCTCCCAGGAGCCTGGAAAAAGGCAGGAGTAAACAGAGGCCAAGTTAGCAAGGAAAACGATGAGGAATGTGGGAATTGGGAGAGAAGCAACAGTGTCTAGACATCCAGGACAAATATTTGCTTAAAACACTTCTCTTACCTTTTCCTCCAGACAGGGGTCTGCTGCTTAATTTCAAAGGGAATTTAGGCTGAGCAAGGGAGTCTGGCTCAGCAGGACTCTGCAGGTGAGGTGGAGATAGGTAAATGTTTACTGTGAAAAAAAAATAATTTTTTTTTTAGGTAATTCTGTTGCCTTCCCAGTTTACCCTGTCTGCCTTGTTTTTCCTTCATGTTTTCTCTCCAAAGCTGCCCTAACCCACACCTCCCTGCTGTCCTGGTGCTGCTAAACACTACCCAAAACCACTGTGAACTCTCTCCTCCTGTCAAATTAACTTTTTAYCATGGCTTTTGAACTTGCCTTCCTCATCAGGAGGAATAGAAATAGTACAAATATGTTATTTTGCCTTCAGAATGACACCTGTTTCTGCAGCGTTTCCTATCTATTGATTTAAATAATTTAGTGTTTKAAAAGGAACAAATCGACTTAATTTGTTTTGGGGATACTTAAAGGTTGAGGATAATTTTATATCAATTAAAATCAGTGGTAATTCATTTATGATGGAACTAATATAATTAATTAGGTAGGTGCTATTTACCTTTTTTTCTAATACGTACATTGCTTTTAAACATCTGCTCAATAGTCCGTTATGATAGCACAGGAGAGATTTTACCTGAGAGCAACAGAGGAGCAGATGCTTCCTGACAGCAACTTCTCAATTTATTTAGGAAACAGCCAGTCAATCCTGGATTCACAGTTTTAGCTTGGAGCATGTCAGGCATGCAAGCAAATTTGAAAATCAGAAACAAAAAAAATTGAGAAATAAGTTTCTTCGTATCATGTTTAATGATTACAGTTTGGTAAAAATGCCTTTTTTGGCTAATGTTCTCTGTGACATTTTGAAAGGCAAATGTTTGTTTTGTCATTTGTTTTGTGGTGTGTGTACACGKATTAATGTTTTGCAGCAGTTACAAAGCCATCCAAATTTAAATTTGAATTTTAGTATCGTCTAGTACAGTAACGAGAATTCAGCATTAGCTGAAAAGGAGTTAGAATGGCAATATGTGTAAGAAGAGAAAACTAGAACAATTATTTGAAGAAAGAGTTAGAACAGGTTATCATGACATGTAAAAATAAAGTTGTGTGAGTTTTGCTTTTTCTGAAATGAGTTACAGCCGTATTTTGTATTTATGGCTTTATTGGTAGCTGGTTAGAGGGTAAAAATGAAGTCTCGTGGGCTGATGTAAAACTCTCTGAGGCTCTTTGGTTCTTGGAGCCATTCATAGATTTTTAGATGTTTCACAGATCACCTGAAATGACTGYACTCATTTTATTCATCTCATCAGCAAAGTTCATCTCATCAGCTACRGAGATACCATCAAAACTTGTCGGCTACAAAATGTACTTTCCCTGCAAAAATACTGTGGGYTGTRCTCACAGAGACTGTAAAGAGCACAAYTGCACATCAATGATGTGTCTTTTCAAGTCAGAAAACGTGAAATTGCTGTTTACTGAGAGGAGAGGGGATTTGAGTAGCCCTGAGAAGGATTCAGCTGTTTGCCTTTGTGTGCAGGTCTAAAATAGACACGAATTAGTCATTTTACCATTACAAACACAAAGCAGTGCATGCAGTCAGTCTTTTTTTTTTTTTTTTCTGCAGCAGTGGTATTTAACACACAAACAGGTATCCTTGCCGTTTCCAGAAGTGTCTTTCAGGGCAGGCTAGGCTGGTGACTAAGCAGGAGGCAAGGCCGTGGTATCTGATGAAACATTAATGCCTGAGAAGCACCATGTAGGCTCAGTTCTGAGCTCAGGCTCTTCCTCTTCCCCACCCCTGCACACACATGAAAACCATTCTGTAGCTGGGTTTGGCTTTTTTTTTTGTTTTCTTTCCCCACAGGCTGCTGATGGTCTTTCTTTTACTGTTCTCACTGAAGCATTGATCAATTTTRAAGAAAGTTCAGCGTGCTACAGAGAAGAAATTTATGTTTTTCTCGAGATACATTCTTTTATAACCTACATTTTACATCTAACCACTGGGTATGACTTGTGTGAGGAGGAAAATAACTTCCYTTCTTGGTCTGTCACTCAGAAATGTGGGAACTGGTGTCTCATATTGGTCTTTGCCTGGCCTGTGACATCAGGAGCAGCAATCATCACTGTCCTTCTGGCAGCTGAACTTTAGCATCTCTTCACAWACAGTTTTTATTACTAAATTAACCCAGAGAGAACTTTTTAAACATTCCCTTTCAGTGCTTTGGGTACTTGTTTCCCGGTAAGCTAAAATGTACTATTTTCCTGCAGCCATCTAGAATTTGCCAGGAAATCTGTGCTCCGTGGCCATCTGTGATCTTCTCATGTCCAAAAATGYATGGACAGTTCCTTGGTCTGTGGCTTCCCATGATCTGGGCTTTCCTTTGGTGAACTTCAGTCTCTCTGCCTCAGCAGCATCTGACTATCTAATACACGAGATTTGGGGAAAGTGACATCAGAAAAAAACCCTAAAAATAACTTGGGTGTCATTACTGTTACCATTTTTCAGTTTTTTGTTTCTTCATAGATTGGTTCATCCAGTGCTAAGTTGARTAAGGATGTGAAATGAAAATGCAAAATACTTCAAATTTCTCGTGTTATATGARCATAGTGTTCAGAGGATGCTGGTTATTCTTTTCTGCTCAGTCTTTTTGTTTTGCTTGGACAGATACCACAAGCCAACGTTCAGAGTTGCTTGGCAATAGCCAAGTTGTGAAATGCACACCCAACCTGTGGGGCATTATGGTTGCTTAGTTCATGCATGTAAATGTGGGGGTTTGAGCATTGAACAAGTCCACACCCAGAGTGTCTTCTTGGAAAGTTTGTTCTTACATTTAATCTTAATGGCATTATTAATTTAATGGTTCAATTTTCGGAGACACTGAGTTATGGCAGCTTTTAGAAAAGTCCAAACAACTAGGTGTTTAGCACTGTTGGAATATTAATTTGAAAAGTTATGGAAGTCATGCTGCAGCTGGGGTATATCTCAATGGAGTTAATTCCATCTATTCTGATTTGTTTCAAATCTACCATAAACTTTAGTACTTTACACCTGGAATATATACTAATAGAAAAAAACTCTCTGAATTTTATTATTATATTTTATGTTATTCTTATAATTACATTATATATTTTATGTTATTAGCAAAAACAACTCCTGGCACAAAGCCTTTAAAGAAAGTAGAACAGGGGATTTTTGGTGGATACATTTGATTTGTCTTTTGGCAAGCCAAACCGGATTATTTAAGGATACACTTCTAAAATGGTCTATGCTGAATGTAATGAGGAAAGGTACAGCTGTAGTCCCCTTATTGTGCCAGTTACTGTGCCATAAAGATTTTAGAGAGCCTTGGTGCAGCTTAGAAAGATCTCAGTTCTGGGAATGCTTGCAAATAGTTCACAGTTTGTGGAAGTAAGTATGTAAGATGTCTCTGGGTTTTGGACTTCTCTGGTTTTCTTGCTAGTGTTGAAAAATTCCCTTGGGACTTTGCAGGGGCAGTGCTGTGAGAGGGTTGATTGCCATTATTTCTGTTCTGTGCATTTATCGAATTTATGACAATTTCCCTTGGAACAAATACAGAAGCTGATGCAYTGCTGTGGTCGTGTTTGTTGTTTCAGGAGCCTTTGGATGATTCTCAAGCCGCTGGAGTTTGCAGCACGGAAGAAGTGGTTCGCTATGAGTACCATGTCCTGTACTCCAGCAGCTACCAAGTACCTGTGCTCTATTTCAGRGCGTGTTTTTTGGGTAAGGCACATCAGACATTCAGCGTGTGCATGTGCAGTAGATGTTGAAAACAGAGATTTTGTGTTGAGGAACAGATGTAATAAGAAGCTAAGAGATGAGGCTGCTCACCAGTGAATTTTGCASTGCTCTGGACTCTGAGCTCCAGGAGTGTGGAGGAGATGATATCATCTCAGCCTGAGGGAGGCTGATCTTTTGCTCCTGGCATCTTGCCTGCGGTTGACTGAAACTGCCGGTCATTTTTCTTGTTCTTTTTCTTGAAATGACTGCAAAAAACTTAGTGCTGCAGGTTTGAACTGGGCTAGGCAATCAGTGGACATTACCACAGTGCTTCAGCAGAGCTATGTCTGTTTTTTTTTTGGAGCCCCAGTTTGAGCCACAAGGCTGGGGTCTAAATGTGTCTTTAAAAATGTATGCTGTTTTCTGTTTAAATTTGCTGCTCAAGGGAAAATAAAATAATACCAATATGGTATTGACTTTTTTTTTTTTTTTTGTACTAAAGCTGGCTCTGGAAGCAGTAGCTGATTCAGTCTCCTCCCTGATGTGTAGAGCTTGTTACCCACTGCTCTGTGGCTGTAGCTGCTGTGATTTCAGCCCCCATCCTGTCAGGGGAGGCAGGAGGAACACTCAGCCTCCCACGGAGGCCACTGTTGGTGTCACTCATTCAATCAGCAGGCACAGAGTGATCACACTGCAGCACTGGCTGTGCTCTGTTCCTCCTGCCCAAAGCCCTGTGCTCCAGTGGCTTGTGCCTGCAGTGGTGTGTCCAGCAGGGCCAGCTGGTGGCACTTGGGGATGAGGTTTAGTGGTGAGTCGGGCAGTGCTGGGTTAAGGCTTGGAGTCGATCATTTTAGAGCTCTTTTCCAACCTAAACGATTGTATGATCAGCATCTTTTGTGTTTTGAATAATATCTTAACTTTATCTAGATAAAGATGTCTGAATGTTGCCAGTGATATCTTTTCCATTTTAATTAAAAAGTAGCTTAAGCCGCTTTGAATGTTTGGTAGATTTAATCACTCTCTGCCTTATATTGTTTAATGGTTTCTAATTTTGCACCGTTAGCGTTTCAAAAAGCACTTCAGATTCAAAATTGAAGAACAAATTCTCATAGGCTCCCTGGTGGAAAGATTTTAGTCTGAGGTGCAGTTTCAGGAATGGATAATTTGGGGTAAATTTTCAGAGTGGGATGTGGGGAATTGGGGACATTGCTCTGCCTTTACCACCAACAGAATTCATTTGCACACATCCTGCTGCAAATTTATTTCCAGCGTTATTATTACAGGCATTTACAAACGTGCAGTGTTTTGCCTTTGAACTTTTTGTGCAGACAGGAAGATGAAGGTAGTTTTGCTGTGAGAGACGGGTTATCCTATTTGTGGTCCTGAAAAATGTCATCCTCTTGGTTTTTTGCTGAATTTACCGTGTGCAGCGTCTCTACAGAAGAGGACGGAGACGCTGCAGGTAGAGGAAGTAGGACACTGTCTCTACTGTACTGTACTTTCATATAATTAGTATTCACCATAAGCAGTTAATCACCAGAGAAGAGCTCACAGAGACAAAACAAGTTGTTTAGCTTGTCAGCACCAGGGAATCGGAGGTGTTGAAACATGACTCCTTATAGCTGGAAGTGGATATTACAGGAGCCAGTGGATGATCTAATGCACAATCATGGTATTATGTGCCAACAGCTCCCCTCGCAGTACACAGCCGTAATTGTTCCTGCAAGTGCAATTAGCTTTTAAAACACTTCTTGGGAACCTTTCGCCATGGAAAACAAGGGCTTTTTTTAGATGCTTGCGAAGGTCACCTGGGCTCTCTTCGGCATTTTACATTCTCTTTTAAATTTAACAATATCTGACTCTTGAAGAGAGCGGGGTACAAAGTGCTGGCAGTGTGTTTCCTACAATGATTTCAGCTGGTATTCTCTGATTTTAATTATGAGCAGCTCAGTTCTGAAAATGAAGAATTCTGTTGGCCTGCCTGTGGTGTACCTTCTGAAGGTCCCAACGTGAGGTTTTTGGGATTTTGCAGCTGGCACTCACTCAGTCACTGASCAGATGGGAAACTCCCAGTAAAGCCCTGAGGGCATTTTTCCCTTTGAGGTCAAAGTCTCCATGTGTAGGATCCTCACTTTGTTTTTTCAGACAACTAGCAATACTCACTGCATTCCTCACCTGAACTAATCAMGGAACAATCTCCCAGAAAACCTCCCTCAATTTCCCGGTCTAAATTCCTGCCATTATTTGCAGGCTCTGGTAACACAGGGTCGGTTCCTGTGAGCTGTTCATGGTTTCCCTGGGATCCTGTCCATACCAATCCCCAGTTAATTAGAGCTGGCTGCAGGAGGTGGAGGTGAGCTCTAACTCTTGCAGTGTTTCCACAGCCCTGCCCTGTCTTGCCTTCCCCCAGCACGGGGCACAGAGCAGGAATTCAGAGCTCTGCTTCCTCCCTGGCAGTGTCTGYAATGCCCATCACACCTGGGAAACAATAATTCTTCTGTTCAGCCCTTTTTGCAATATTCACTTCCTCTCTTTGTATAACCGCTGCTGATTGCCAGCCTGTCCAAATCTGCACTCCAACAGATTCTTTACAAACCCCTCTGGAACGATGAAATCAAATCAAATCTTGCCTTTCTCCCACTGCGTCTGAGTCCAGCTTCCATTTACCTGGTCTCAGTCCCTCCTAGGAGAAAGGCTCTCCATGGGAGATTTTCCTCTAAATTGGATGAAATAACTTATTTTCTTGAACTCATCTATAGACCTTCTTTTTGTTGTTTGTGAGATGAAGTTTGATACATAAGGTGGTGTAAGGTAAGGTTTGAAATTTTAATGGCAAAAGACCTAAAACATTTTGAGGCATCTAAACTTTTTTTGTAGTCTCAGGAGATGGATTTACAGGGRAGATCTTGTTCTGTGCAAGGACAAATACTTCAGTTGAAAATAGTGATTAAGCGTGATGAGTCTGTCTGGAAAGGTGTTTGGGAACATTATAGGGTACAAGAAGATATTTTTAGGCAGCGTGTATATACATAAGAAACATTTTTCACTACCTCATGATACTTTCCACGTGGAGTATATATTAATTTCAGACCTGCTGAAGTCACAGTCAGCGTCAGGAGCTCAAGGCAGGGGCCCAGCACTCCAAAATCAGTCCTGTGCCTACCATACCTTCCATAAACAGAGCCCTTCTTTTTTTTTCTCTGGCTTCTGAGACTACCAAATAGGTGGTTGAAGAAATGCATGAACCCCTGCTGATATCTGATGTCAGCAATTAGCCCTCTTGGAGACAGATGGTATAGGCAATTATCCTTCCCCTTCAATGCTGGCATCAGCCAGATGGGCTGAGCGAGGTCCAGTAAGCTTTCTTTAATCAGCAGAGTATTTTCCTCATTTCTTAGTCTTTAAGATGTCAAGGAGCTTCCCTCTTTTTCCTGAGCCGTCCCCGTGTGAAGCCATGCTTTCAAAACTCCCTTGCCATGCATTAGAAAACCCTCAGAGAGGTGGCAGCAGCACAGTCACAGGTGAGCACAGGCCCCATTCAAGAATCATCAATCAGCCCATGTGTAGAGAAAATAATGTCTCGTCTCACACTTCTCCTTCTCCCTGCAAAGGAAGCAGCAGGAATGCTGGCTGAACACGGAAAAGAAAGAGCGGGACTAATGGGAGTCAAGAGGGGCTGCACTCTCACTCCTCTGGAAAAGAGAGAAGGAATGGAATTTTCAGGTTGACCTGCTCAAAATACTCTCTCTCAGCTCAGTGACAGCTAAATCCCTGCCAATAAAAACCACGCTAATCAGTGGTTAGAGAGAGGGAGCTTCTCAGATAGGGCAACTTCTTCCAGCCCTGAAGGCATGACTTTCTGTATTCACAACCACACCGGGCCTGACTGAAGTGCTTTCCAGAATACAGATTTACTTCCTGAGCTCAAAAACATGTAACCACCGTGTCCTTTCTCAGAAACACAGCTGCTCTAAAGACCATATCCTGTAAAAACTGGTTTTGTTGTGGCTTTGGACATAACTGAAATGGAATGATTTCTGTGATCCTGTATTCTCTTAAACTGTAGGAGTGTTTTTTTCTCTTTCAGCGGTGGTTTCTTAAGATTCTTTCTTTATAAAATACATCAGAATGAAGCCTCAAATAATTTGTGCACCATTTCACCCAACTGTCAAATAACCTTTAATTGAAAATCTTAGAAATTGTTAAAAGCTTTTAACAGGGAATCCCTAAAATTACTAAAAGCCCTCACTATACAGAGTACAGCCCTCAAGAAAACAGAATACAGCAACTTGGGAAGCCTGAAAATTTTCTCTGAAAATAAACATTAAATTTTGTCTGCCTAAAGAATTTCTGCCCTTTGCAGAAATTAAAGGTGCCAGCTGAGAGCTGCAGCTCCTGTGTGGTCTGGCAGTCTCACCTTGCTGCTGTGAGAGGGCACTCCACCTTCTGCCTTTTAACTGTTCCTTATTTGTGGTGACATGATTGAGTTAACCCCAGCTGGACAATCAAGAACCTTTTCTCAGAAAATTTTGTTGTAGTCTAAAATAATTAAAATAATGTTTTAATAAAATAATAAAATAATAAAACTGTCCCAGCTGGAGTTGTGCTGAGTCTTGGGACACAGAGCAAGCTGTGTTCTCGTGGGTGGATGGTGAGTACATAAATGCACTGGTGGGTGAATCTGGAGCCTTCACCCTCCTCTTCTGCTCTTCTCTTGGCTTGGTGCTGCTGTTTCCTCCTCATCCTGGCTGAACTTTCCAGTTCAGCTCCATCACAGAGAAGAAAGGGGCACGAARGTGAGAGGCTGCTTGGCAAAATTTACCAACTGCTCTGTCACACCAAATGGGTGTTTGAGGTCTCAGTGGGCTGCAAGAACGTGTAAGAGGGCTCTAAATGTGGGAGAGTGCTGGAAAAAGGGGGTAAGAGTGCCAAAAAACTCACATCTGTGTTTAGAGCAAATCTGTGAGCTTGTGAATGGAATGAATTCACCACGAGGTAAAGACAAAACTTGTTTTTAACTGTAACGTGGTTAATGCTTCAGTAATATCTGATCATTTGTATAAATGGGATTAAAAGAGTCAGAGTAATCCATTCCACGTGTGCATGAATTTGCTCAAGTGTTCCTACAAAAATTCTCAGAGAAAGGTGTATGGAACACAGTAGAATGACAAATCAGACGTTGCTTTGCAGCATGTGTTATTGTAGGTTTTACATTGGGACTTTTCTCTGTTGAGAACAAAATTGCAGGTACAAATGGCATTTCAAATCACCTGCACACAGGTAATCTGGGTGTAAATTSTCGGTGTAAATTCATCCTTCTTAAGTAAATTTATTCTGTTGTAGCAGGMTTGTTTGTAAATGTTAGACTGTCTCCAGCACAGCTTTGGTATCTGTCATCACAAGATAGTGATGATCTAACAAGTTCTACCTCCATGAAGATAGCATGGAATAGCAGATTAATATGCTCTTACCCCCTCAGATACTTCATTTTTCACATGATTCTGCTATATGGTGCATATATAAGTTCAGAACTTGGTGCCTTTTTATAAATATGTGCACAAAATAAAACAAAGCAGAGGCTGTAGGCAGCTGGTTTGAACTTGTACCTAAACATGGYATTGAAATGTTAATTGTGGGAATAAATCTTTTTCATTTTACAGACATGCAAATGTCAGTAGAATRAACCTAATTATCAGAGGATGATGGTTTCTGACACCTGATAAATGCCAAAATGAAGATACTTACTGAAACTTTATCGAAATACTCTGTTTGCCATAAACAAATATTCATTAAAAATTGACATGCTTATTTTCTAAGTGGTTGACACTAATATCTTGGTGTAGTTCTAGCATCACAGCTAGAAACCTGATGCAACAATTCTATATAAATGCAGCTCAAGAAAATATTATGGACATACCAAAATGCAGTAAACTTTTATCTGCAGAATTTTGTTCCTGAGATTTTCCCCACCTTCTCACTATGAATTGTATGTATTTACACTGAGTGAGTCTTTCTGATGTTATTTCATGGTTTTAAATCCATCTTAGCCAAACTTTGTTTTACRAAGTCACACTTCACACCTTAGAAGCAGAACAGTGAGTTGTTACTCTCAGGTGACAGAGAACAAARCCAAACAGGGGATTTAGGGTAGTTCTATGTGCACCTTCAGTAAGGATTTGAGCAATTTTCAGTTTCAGTTTTGCTATTCTGTGCTAAAGATGCTTAAGAGCTTTGGCTGACCATGGTTGTTTCTRCCTTCTCACAGATGGAAGACCTTTAACTCTGGATGAAATTTGGGGAAGTGTCCATGCATCCTACCAGGCTCGTCTGCAGGAGGGGCCCTGGGACACCATTACTCAGCAGGTGAGAATCCTCTGGTCCTTTACAAAATTGGGAAATGTAATATATACCTGAATCCTCAGTGGCTTTACTCCTCTCTTGGACACAAGGAAAAAAAAAAAAAAGTATATATGTCTAACTCAGGTTATGCTGAGCCATTTACCAGCAAGTCTTAGCCTTGAATTTTGAAGGATACATAAGTGTTCACAATTCAACAGTATCTCACATTTGACAGTATCTCACATTTAAAATACTTTTGCAAAGCCAGTCCTGAAAACTTCAGGCAGTTTCTGAGTAATTGTGGATTGGGTAAATACGAAAGCAGACTTATTTATGTAAGTAAAACATACCAGTGTAACATTTCACCGATTGTCTGGTAATCAAATTAGCAAAAAAGACCGTGTGTAATTTTCAGTTTTAAATAGACTTGCAGGATTGAGTGAGAGAAAATCGATCTCTTGTTCAGAAATAAGTTGGTGCTAATAGTGACACATGGCTTAGAGTGAACTGTTTCTCTGGTGTCTTCCCTTTACTCCGGGTCTCATGTGCAAATCTGACAAATAATTGAGACTCTACAGGTGTGAATTTTTTCCCATCAGACCGAGATATCAAAGTGTCCTCTCTTTCTCCCCTTTCCTACCTTGATTTTTGTATTTTAGCTGTTTTCAGGTGCTCAGGTCTCCTTCCACAGCAGCATGACAACGATGTCCAGGTCCTACAGGTGCTCCCTTAATTCAAATAACATAATTTAATTAGAAGGTGCCTGTTTGTAGATGATGCTCAGCCATGGGAACACGAGCAGAGTTTTGTTTTTGCAGCCACAGATGATTATTTACATTCTAACAGYTTCCTGAGAACCTCCCAAGCCATGGGTGTCCCAGTGATTGTTCTGAATTCCAGTTGTGAGCTGGCAGGCTCTGGTACCACACACTTTCAATATAAAACATTAATTACCTGGTTTGTCTGTGAATGAAGATGAGGGAATTAGGTTTTAGTAATGTAATGTAATAATGCGACACTACCGAGAATAAAACATAAACGGGATGTTTGGAATGTGTGAAAGCCAAGAGGAAAATCAGGTCACTCCCACTCGGGGATTATTTTTGCCTKTTAAGGGACAGTAAAGTAAAAACTGTCCTGCATCTAATAACTGGAGGTGTTTGTGAGATACATACACACAAATTCTTGCAAAAACAAGAGTTTTGGGTGGCAGAATGTGTGGAGTGATGAATCTGGTTCTGTGACACTCTCCAGACGTGSTACAGCCAACTGTGCAAACACAAGAAGAACATTTTTGAGAAATTAGTGAGGTTACAGCAGGAAAATGTGACTTTCTGTTAAATAAGGAGATTATRGAAGATAATAAAAACTAGCCTGCAAGCCTCAGATCAAAGCAAGAGTTAGGGCTACAAGCGAAAAGACTGCTTTTCCCCCTGAAATGAATCARGGTTCTGAATTGAAATAATGGAGTTTTGTCTTGCCTCCCTGCTTTTCTGCTGACCCATTTTGTTATGTGGGTTAGGCTTTGCCTGCAGGGACACAGATCGTRTAATGCAAGTCACTGGGCAAACTCGTCAAATCAGGCTTGAGCACTCGGTACACACGAGCAGCAGACTAAAAAGGTTTAGGKTTTTAATCCAAAAGAGACACAAATTTTAAACGCTACAAGCACTCCGCCACTGGGAAGAAAAATTGAGCTTTGCCAAGGGTCCACGCATGTTACTTAACTTTTAACTGGGCTAATTTGCACTTTGATTGGCTCACTTATTCACAATTGCCTCATTCAGTTTTTGGGGCTTTTTTCCCGTATATTTTATAAAATGTGGATGCCAGGCCTGGGCACTTTTCTGATATAACTATATTTTGGCTTATACTCTCTATGGTAAAAAACATCTACAGTAAAATATATCTCAGAGACTGAGACAACCTTCAGAGAAAGGAGACATTTGGCATTTACAAAACTTTAGGTAAAATTTGGACTTTTATATTCACTTTTGATTACAGTGGAAAGTTACGCTCGTTTCCAGAGAAAGCATCTTGAAATATTTTTCCTGACTAGATTACTGCAAAAAGCAGAAGTCAACTAGTTACCTTCTCATAAATAAATTAACATGATAAGGTTGCATAGATATTTTATAATGATAATTGATAAATGGTGATGATTTAATTGCACTTCCTCTAGTAATAATCTTAAAATGCTCAAATGAGGTTCCTGTGATTGGCTTTCTTGTGAGTTAAATCTCCCTGGGGTCTTCAGTCATCCCTTCTCTACATCCGGCGATAACTTGCTTTAGCTGTTTTAAATAATACAAATCAATTAGAACACACAGCTGTTTAACAAAACTTCCAAATGTTGCTACAGGTCTCTGTGGGTATTTCCTGATGACTTATAATGACATCAATTTAGCACACCTGGTAAGATCTGTGTGAGCTGGAAGTGGCTTAATTCTGCAATGACAGGAAAATTAAGGAGTATTTATGGATTACTGTTGCCTTCCAGAAACGTTGCCAACTGTGATTTTCAGGAGGATTTTTAGGAGGATTCATTTTTTAGGAGGATTCTTTTTAGGAGTATTCAGAAGTGGAGTTACAGATAGTGCAGCCCAGTCTCCTGAATTGTTTATTTGTAGCTTGTTGGTTGCTTTTTAGTGTTAGTAATTTTTATTAGTAATTTAAATATCATATAAACACATATTATATTTATATTATTTATAAGATATTAGTTTTGCACATATACATGGTGGCATTGTCTAAACAGCAGTGGAATAAAGGATAAAAAAAATGGGTAAAAACACACTAATTCTTCATAACTTCTTTGCTCTGACGGATGTTTTACAAGTGTAGACGAAGCAGAAGGACTTCAACAGGGGGAGAGACAAAACTGACAAGTGTGTTTCTAAGACTGAGTATTAATGTAATTAATTTTGTGAATACAGGTGCCCAAGTCCATTTTTGGTTTTTGTTACTCGTGATAATCCATGCCTTCTGTGAATTTTTTTTCTGTGTGGAGACAAACTAGCAAGAGAATTCCAGAAGCTGATGAATGAAGCTGATCACACTCAGTAGCATTACCAACAATTTTGTTTTTAACAGAGTGATGTTGTCATAAAGCCTGACCTTCCCCTGAGGAAACAAAGTCGTAAACACAATCAAGTGTATGTGCTCGGGCTTAATCAATGCTTAGTGATGATGGAATGTAAAATCAAACATCCAAGGAGAGAAATCGAATTGCATTATTATGGGAGGCTCAAGGGCTGAAAAACTACCCCRTAAAACAAGAACAAAACCTGGTGATTTGAAGATCCTGCAGAAAAAGTCTAAAAAGTTAATCTGTGATTTGGGCTTCCAGAGGACTCTGGAAGCTGTGGAGCACATGTGTTCAAACATCCTTCACCTCCTTTTTAACCAACACCGTTCAGATGCAATTAAATCTCTTACCAAAGTGCTCCTGGCCATGGGAGAGGACACATTTCGTGTGTGACACCTTGATTCTAGATTTTCTAGCAATAAATTGGCATTTTCCTGGTTTAGCAATTTAGTGTTGCTTCAGATAAAGTAATTCAGACAGTTCTGTATCCTAAGYTTCYGAATAGTGAGTGATCARGAATCTTGCATCTGTTTTTTCTCARCCATATATTTCTCAGTTCATATATTTCTCTCATATATTTCTCATTTTCACCTGAAGAGGTGTTTTTTTTTCATCATTTGATACTTACCAGGTAGTTTTAGTATGTCCTTCCTGTCACATAAAAAGTAGTCAACCAAACTTGAACTGCCCAAAGCACAGCACAGAACTGCTCCTATTTCTGAGTTAATCCAGAGTCCTTTTCAACCAGGAGTTAAGAATCTGGAAGACATGTTCTTTATAGTACCTCAATAATCCTGTCCATTACATCACTTAATTTATAGCAGTGCTAACAGAAAAATCAATAAACATTATTTCAAAAATGTCAGGGATGTTAATAGTGTGATTTAAAAAAGGAGAAAGAGTCAAAACTCCGAACAGAACGCATTGATATAGTGTTGTAGAGGCACATCTTGCTGGAAATGTGATAGGGAGGATTTAAATCATTATGGCTCAGTCATTTTGAAAAATGTGTGTAGGTAGCTATTCTTAGACATACAAATCTTTCTTGCCATATTGTGGGATTTTGCTAAGTGGGGGAGGCTGTATACAGTATTTCTCAACAGAAGGTTGCTATAGGATCGCTCTTAATGATTTTTGAGTCGTATCAACAGTTGCTATGGATCCCCTGCTAATATTTTTGGAAAATTATTAGTACAACTTCCTGAGAAAAGGGAGTCTTACCAGTACAGACTGGGAAGCTGTTTGATGGGGGAAAATACTGGTGGATATTTATTATTATTTATTTCCCACTAAAATTTTCTATGATGTGTTGAACTGGGGTTTAAACCAAGCTGTAGTATTGTACAAGCTACCAAGGAGGTTTTCTTTTAAAACTAGCCATTAATTAATAATGTTTAATTATTAGCTGCCCTACAGTTTAGTCATGCTTTTCCCCATAAGAATTCATGGACAATAATCTAGACCAAGTAATTTTGTAGAAAAAGGCTGAATAGTGACTACAAAATGATGTAAATACAAAAGTTTAATGGATAAGCAGCTGACAGATGTGCAGCTGATGGCATCTACCTGAGCTTGTGCAAAGCATCTGACACTGTGTGACACGGCATCCTCRGCTCTGAGTTGGACAGAGAGGTGGGTGAGGGATGGGCTGGGGGCTCRCACTGGGGAATTTGGGGACAATAACTTAATGTCCAGGTGGAGACCAGGGAAGGGATCAGAACGAACTGGGTCTAGAAAATCTGAGACACCAGCACAGAATGGGGAAAAAAGGATTGGGAGCAGCCCTGGGAGAAACCCTGCTGTGGGTGAGAACTGGACCCCCAAACTCCCCGTGCTGAGACCCCAAAAACCCCTGAGCTGAGACCCCAAACCCTCTGAACTGGACCCCCAAACTCCCCGTGCTGGGACCCCAGACCTTCCTGGGCTGAGACCCCCA